TATCTGATTAGTGCACTTTTGAACATCTCTGTAGTTAATTATTTTAACTTGGCCTAACTTAGACTACGTCAAGAAGGCTGCTGTCAGGGATTTGACTTTATGGATAGTGGGATGAAGCCTCAGTCAACTGAGAGCCCATCACAGCTAAACCCTGAGGACAGCCTCATAATTCGTGAAACAGGACTTTAGCAGGTTTCAGTAGCATAACATGAACAAGTAGCACTGAGCCAAAAATAAGCAGAGTAGCAAACCCCTGTTCCATTTGGAAGGAAAATGGTTTTTCTTTGTCCCTAACTACTCTTACATCCTGGAACAACAACAAAAACATTTTTAAACTTGTGTACCTGTGCTCTAAAACACTGCCATCATAAAGCAGACTTAAGTGAGTTAAAGGGTTGCCTCATCTAGAAATTGTCAGTGTAAAGGGGGAGATTAGGTTCTCCCTAACCCTATCTTTATTTTGTTTTTTATTCCATATACTCCAGGAAATGTATGGTCTCTAAAAGCCCTAGTTGTTTCCAAAGTAGGGACTCTGCCTTTTTGTTGGTAGGGGGAAAATGCTATTGCTTTGTCTTACAGAGCGAATGTCTGCCAACTATCCATTCATTATATAAATCTGAACTTTGGTAATATATGGCTATGGAGATTAAGCCTTCTATAAAGACTTACTGTGGAGGTGAATTCTCATTAAAATGTAGTTATCTACAATATTTACTAGAGATTTATGAGATTAAATTAAATAATGTAAGAAAGTAGACCTTTTTTTGTTCTACATAATGCTTGATGATTCATTTAGGGACCTAGAAATATTGTGTGAAAATGTATAAATATCACCCAAAAGGCTTTCTGCCCTATATTTTTAAAATACAGAATAGTTATATTTGAAGTAGCCCTGGCCCTAGTTCTATAGGGCTTGGCTATTTAATATTTTTATGGAAGAAACGTTTAGTTCTGGAAAAGGTAAATGCTTGTATATATTTTTGCAGCCTGGGATCTCCCTTACTCCATTTCTTCCTTAATTTAAGTGGCCACATGTATATGTCTTCCCTGCTGTGTTAGGAAAATGGGGGCTGGATATCCCAAGAATCAGAGGTTATATAAAAATACGACAGATAGACAGCAAACATAAATACCTACCAAATGCTATTTTAAATTTTGGTCCAAACTGAACATTTGGAAATAGATTTATTGTAAGTGTTCAATTAGAGCGATTTCTTAAATCTGAACTAAATTGCTTTTAGAGTCCTTTTTCTTTGTAAGCATTGTAAATGCTAATAAACCCTGTTAATTTTTTTTACTGCATGTTATGTTGAAATAAAAACAAAGTAAAATGAGCAATTGCCTTATTCTTCTGCTCTTTTGGGTAATTGGGGAAGGCAGCATTTCACAGCCTGGGTCAGGAGGGAAGGATCTCACTTGTTATCAGATAGAGTGGTTTAAAACTGATCCAGCAGCTCATAACAATAAATTCCTGCTCTGTCTTTTATGATCTTGTATCAGAGTGCAGAAGAATATAATTTCACAAGACTTACAATAACTCTATTTAAAATTCAGGTATTAATTTTTTATCAAGAGATTGACATCAATGTCAGTGGTTCGGAAATTTAAGTGAAAAATGACTCACTTGCCCACAAAGATCTCATCCTAAATGAATTATTTCAGTCAAGCCCACTCTGCCACTTTTTATTTATCTGGTTAATAATCTAAAACGTTATCAGGGGTGACTCATGGGGTTATTAGACTTACTCTATTTCTACACCCTCCTTGTTTTGGATATAATTCCATCTGAACTCCTTTAGGTTAATTACTTCTACTTAATATTGTTGGTATCTCCAGCCCCCCCTTATTTTTTGTTTTTCTCTTATTAGAGTTGTATACAAAAGTATTTGTATATATGGTATGCTTTCATTTACTAAAAACCGGGAATGGCAGCACTGGATTGTATATTACTGTATTGGAGTTCCTTTGTTTTCTTGAACTGTAATTTCAAATACTCAGGTAACTCTACAAATATCACAGGGAGTCAAGTGCTCTTATAAAGGTCCTTCAAGGGGCTGCCTCACTTGCATTTCCTTAAAAGATGTAAGACTGCATTTATAATTAAACTTTTTTGGTCCTTTATTTGCACACCGTTCTGTTAGTTTGAGTAGGGAGGTATTCCCTAACTACAGTGAAGCCTTCTTTCTATATGATTGAGTCATATGGATTTCTGCCTCTCTGCTTTTCTGAGTGGGCAGGTTATAACCTGTCTGTACTGTGGAGTAGGTAGAAAAAACTGGAAAGACCTACTGGGATGAGACTGGATTTGTCCCCTATGTTGAAAAGAACCAAAATGAAGACATCTGCTTTTCTAAGACAACTAAAGGTGCTCTAAAACAGGACCCCAGCATGGGTGCTGAGTAGACAACCACCAGTTCGTTACCAAGATTAACCTCAAAATGCTGTCCTACTCTCTAGCTTCAGTAGACCTTTTTCTTGTTAAGAAACCATGCTCTCATTTAAAATAGAACCAGTGGTGAGAGGCTAAGGGGATTTGTTTTGTTTTTTGGTTTCGTTTTTAATGCTGAACTAACAGTGACTAGAGGACAGAAACTGCAGTTCCCTCCCAGGTCCTGAGAAGTAGACCCTATCCTGTTTAATGTTTCAAATAAGCAGCTAGAATGATCTAGTTTCAGTGTGGCTGAGAAAAGGGATGGGGGGAACTGATCTCTCCCAGCATGTGGAAATTTTCCATGGGAAGTAGTTGTTTTTACATTTGGCTCTCTGGCCCCAAACCATACAAAACAACATCAAACAAGACTAGCTGTGGCCAACTGACCCTGTTATCTGGACTTCTAGGAAATGTCTCCTATTGCGTAACTCCAGAACAGAAATTGCTGTCACTCCCAGCCAATTTCAGTTATCAAGTCTGTTTGTCTGTAGGGCTCCTCTGTGGCCAGGACATTTGCGGGCAGGATTCCATGATCATCTTGCTATTTGGCTAGGAGAAGAGGGTCTTCAGTGAAGACCTCAGAAGAACAGTGTCCCTTATTAACAGGTTCCCATTAAGCAAAGTTGCTGTGGGCAAGAGGGTTTCCTCAAGGCACCCCACAGGACAGGACCTTGAGAATTTGCAGTCATACCTACAAATCACTGAAAACACTCATACTGTTATTTTTCCTCATGTAATTCAGACCTGCTCTTCTGTTTGTCTTCCCTATCCTAGCAACCAATACCACACCTATATTCACTTAGTCCCAGGACAACTATCAACATTTATTACTGTGTCCCAATCTTGGTTAGATATGCCACATGCAACTGTCAGTCTTCCTGGCCACTTTCAGGGATGATTATTTCTATTTACAGATAGTAAAATGGAGGCTAAAAGTGATGAACTTGAGGCCATTCAGTGGCAAGAGTGCAAACTGGAATTCTGGATTGTGACTCCAAAGCCTGCCTTGCTTGCCTGCCTAAACGTTTATATTCTATTAATAGTAATGTTAACCTTGATCCTCTGATTAAGATGGTGTCTGCCCAGTTTTCTCACTTTAAAGTCGCTACTGGATTCTCTTTACATCCAGAGCCCCCCTGGAAGGAGCACATCCTTCCCTAATGGAGAGAGGCTACAGTGGAATGAAAAATTGGAGTTAGATTATCTGGGTTGAATTGAGGAACCTCCCCAGGAATGTAACCTTAAGCCAGTCAAATGAAATTTCCTCAATACTAGAAAGTTTATTGACAGACCTGTTCCTCTCCCCTTACAAGGGCCTAAATAATTCGTTCCTTGCTGATAAATTGCTTTCCTTTTTTTTTTTAAAGATTTTATTTATTTATTTGACAGAGATCACAAGTAGGCAGAGAGAGGAGGAAGCAGGCTCCCCGCTGAGCAGAGAGCCCAATGTGGGACTCGATTCCAGGACCCTGAGATCGTGACCAGAGCAGAAGGCAGAGGCCTAACCCACAGAGCGCCCCAAATTGCTTTTCTTTCTTATGCCCCCTCTCTGTAAAAGTCTGTATAGCTCAGTAGAGCTTCCCTCTATTTACTTAGATGCCGGATTCATCACTCGTGTTTATAAAGCCAATTAGAGCTTCGAATTTATGCCATCAAACTTTGTTTTCTAACAAAGGCAAAAGAACAAAAAATAGGACAAGAGGAAGGCTCCCCCCTTTTAAGAGTGAGAAAATAAGGGAACACAAAGATGTAAAGTGGTTTCTCCAAGGTAACCCAGAAGTGGGGCTGAAACCGCCATACTTCCAAGCTAGCCCTGTCCACTCCATCTGAGAACCTACCTGGAATATTCCCAAAGTGGTAGCTCTAGTGACCCCAGAGACGCATGACTCCGGTCCCACTACCCGACTTTACTGTGCTTTGGGTGCATTTTGGCACCGCGCCTCATTTTTGCCTTAATGAGGGTGCAAAAGGGGTCTCAGCAACCCCCACCTCGCCTTCGTATTCGCCCACTACCGTCCACCCAGGACTTCCAGAGCCAGCTCAGACCTCGGTTGAGTTGAAATCCTCTTCTGACACCACTAACCAGCATCTTTCGGCACACAAGGAGTTGTGAATTTCCCACAGCTGAAGAGCTCCTCTGCTCTTTACTTTCGGACAGCGCCTGGTAAATTCCCTACAAGCCCTGGGGGAGCTAAGACCCGCCTGTCCACCCGTGCTACACTCGCTCCTGATAGGCTGCCAGAGCTGTCCGTCTTGACAAGGTCTGTGCGCAGGCGCGGAGAGGTACTGGGACTGGATAGAGTGCCGGCGTCGCGGAGCTACCCGTTCGTTTAGAGATGGTGAGTGTCTTCCTGGAGCTGGTGGCTAGCGGCCGGAAGATGGCCGAGCACGGCCGCCCACCACCCTGCGCCTGGCCTTCCATCCTCCGGAGGCGTCTCAGAGTGCCGGCCTGGGAATCCGCGGGGCTGGGCGTGGTTGGGCCGGAGCTGACTGGAGGGCGGAACCCGGGCGGCGCAGGCCTCTAGACCCGGATTGAGGGGACAGAGGGGACCGAGGTGGGGCCACCGGATCCCGCTGACCCTTGCCCGGAAGCAGGAGCTCGGGCCTCGGCGAGGGTCTGACGGAGATGCGGAGGCGGTCCCACAGGCTCCTGCATCCTAGCGTCCCGGGCCTTGTTGCGCGATAACAATAATGGTAATGTTTCCTGGGAGCTTTGTGTCAGTCACTGCTTAAGCGCTTTCTGTACCTTGGCTCTCCTCACCCCAGCTCTGTGAGGTAGGTGCAACCATTATCCCCATTTGACATACGTGGAGTTTGAAGACGAGACAAATTAAATGTCTTGCCTCAGGAAATGGCGGAGGTTGATTTGAACCCAGGAAGCTTGACTGACGCCTTTCTGTTCCTGTGGTTCTTTCGAGCGTATGGAACTTGGTGCATGAATCAGAAATTGGGGGGATCCACCCTTGGGCATCCCAAAGCCTTGCTGGCAGGAACTTTATGCCTTTGGCTCTTTATGCCTTTGTCGGTTTGTTTTCCCGTGGTTTTTATCCTCCCTACTTGTAGAAAGCTTGAAGAGACTTCTGAAATGTTAAGGCCAAAATCCTATTTAAAAATGTAAAGCCCACAATAAAAATGGCAAAGGAAAAAGGGACAGTGCCATGATCTAGAGGCAAACATTTGTAATTAGAAGACATAGCCTAATCTTTCTGTCCTCAGTTTTCACTTTATATAGTTTAGTTCCTATTGAATGTACAGTTGTGGACTCTGCTTTTTTCATTTATTATTACACCACAAAGAATGTGTTAACGTCCCGAAAAACATGTAGTAATTACTTTGAACATATGTAACCTCATCTTTACATCACTTTTTAAAGTGTAAAAAAAAAAATAACCTGCACACAGTAAGAAAAAATAATCTGAAAGGATCTGACTGAAAAATAAATCTCCCACCCCTGATCCCCAGCCTCAGTCACCAGAGTTGAAAGTTAGTTTCTTATACCTCTACATGCAAATACCGTTACGTGTACACTCCCTCGTCTTCTGACACAAATGGTAGCTTACTGCAACTAGTACCATGCTACTGTGTTTTTACTTATAAAAGCAGAACATATTTAGATGCACATTTTAAACAATTCAAGCAGTTTCAAAGTAATGTAGAAAGTGCATGTGGTCCCCATGTCACTCCCCTATGATAAATGACTGTTGGCAGTTGGGTGTGTTTCCTTCTAGATTTGATTAGTGCATAAGCACATTCACATATAAGCTGTTTATTACATGACACTAGAACATTTATGTTTCTAGGTATTAAGTTTACTTTAGGCTATACATAGGAAGAGATCTCTCTTTCTAGAGCTTACTCTGTTCACTTAGAAATACCAAACATTTTACCATGGCAGTATATACAAATCTTCATTCTTTTTAAGGACTGTATAATATTCCATTGCAGTAACTACATTTAGGTGACTTACAGTTTTTCATTCTAGTCAGTGCTGCAGTAACTATTGTCTTTTTTTTTTTTTTTTTTTAAGATTTATTTATTTGAGAGAGAGAATGCAAGTGAGGGGAAGGGGCAGACGGAGAGAGAATTCTCAAGCAGACCCCACTCAGCATAGAGCTGGATTCTGGTCTCCATCCCAGGGCCCTGAGATTATGACGTGATCCGAAATCAAGAGTCAGACATTTTTACTGAGTCACCCAGGCACCCCTGCAGTAACTGTTGTCTGTGTGTGTGTGTTCATGCTAGTGTCTATGTAGGATATAGGGTGGATTCCTAGAGGTGTTACTTCTGGCATGCATATTTTATAGTTTGGTAGAAACTGCCAGATTGACCTTCAGAATGGTGATATAAAAATCATCCATAACACTATCTGGTTTTACTTCACCACAAAACTATTTCCTTTTTTTAAAAAAAGATTTTATTTATTTATTTGACAGAGAGAGATCAAAAGTAGGCAGAAAGGCAGGCAGAGGGGAAGGGGGAAGCAGGCTCCCTGCTGAGCAGAGAGCCCAATGCGGGGGGGCCTGATCCCAGGACCCCGAGATCATGACCTGAGCCAAAGGCAGAGCCCCAACCCACTGAGCCACCCAGACGCCCCTACACAAAACTATTCTCATCTGATGATTGCTACATCATCTTTGTGATCTGTTATTTTTAATGACTACGTAATAGTAAAATAGCTGTACCATAATTTGCGAAACCATTCCCCCGGTGTACATTTGGGTTGCTTCTAGTTCTTCATTAGTTGAGATAATGCTGTGATGAGTACTTCTGTATGTGTAGAATTTATTTTTCTTTTTTAAAAAAATTATTAGATTATTTCCTTAGGAAAAATCCTCAGGGAAAAAAACTTCTGAGGCCAAGGGACCAAAACTTATGGGTCTTGCAGTAGTGTTGTCCTGTCACTTTCCCAAAAGGTCGAATTGCCTTTGTACCAGCTTTGCCATAACTGCTAGATTTAAAATCACTTCATCATTGCTATAATTTTTCATTTTTTAAGGAATGAAATGAAATGTCTCTTGTTTTTCAGGAAACTGAACATTTTTCTATATGTTTGTAATTTCTCTTAGGTATATTTTCTACTAGTATCCTTTTTGCCCACTCAACTTTTAGACTATTTTTCTTTTCTTTTTAAGATTTTATTTATTTATTTGAGAGAGAAGGTGAAAGAGAGCAAGAGATCATGAGTAGGAGGGAAGGGTAGAGAGAGAAGCAGATTCTCCCCTGAACAGGGAGCCTGATGCAGGACTCGATCCCAGGACCCTGGGATCATGACCTGACCTGAAGGCAGATGCTTAACCGACTGAGCCACCCGGGCGCCTCCAGACTTTATTTTTCTTAATCATTTTGTGTGATGTTTTGGAATTACTCTTTCGTTATGTTAGATGCAGATTTTTGTTTGTTTGTTTTGATTTATTTTTGTTTTATACAAAGTATAATGCTTGTGCTTAGGAGTCAGATGGGTCAGTTTCTTTGTGAATCATTTGCTTCTGATGATTATTCCTCTTAGCTGAACCAATAAGTAATCCTGCTTATACTGCTACTTGTTTTTGCATCTGTCAACAGCATGTACCTGGGAACTAAAGAACCCGAAAGGTTTGTTTCTTGCCTGGTGCAGACACCATGTTAGTGCTACCTACAACCCAGAATGCAGAAGATACCAGTTGGGCTCTCTCTAGGAGCAGGACAGGAAGTTGGAGATGTGAGCCAACCCTGGGGGACTGCATATCCACCCAGGCAGATCTGGGACCAGTTGGCTAGCTCGGCAGGAACGACAAACCTTGATCTAGAGCTGGCAATACTTGGATGCCTGCCTAGGACTGTCCTTTCCTATCTGTAAATGCCCCTGTTGCTACTTGTGGCTTTTTGGTAACATTAGTTTTTCTTCTTGGCTCTTTTAGGGCTGAACTTGAGGTTTGTTTAAAGCAGTTTCTCCTGAACCCAGATCAGTAGCTGGTGCTCTGCTCTCCTGGAGACCCCTCACTAGACCTCATGATCCCCAACTCCCCCAGGCCTAGCCCCATCCTACTGGTTGGGATCATGTTGGAAAAGACTATTCTCTAGTCTTACAGAAAACTATTTTTATTATATTTAACTATATACTTGACCAAAGTCTAATATTTCTAACATAAAAAAGTTTTTGAAAATCAGTAGATATGTGGAAAAATCTAAAGACTTAAAAATGAGAGATGTAGGGGCGCCTGGGTGGCTCAGTGGGTTAAAACCTCCGCTTTCAGCTCAGGTCATGATCCCAGGGTCCTGGGATCGAGCCCCGCATCGGGCTCTCCGCTCAGCTGGGAGCCTGCTTCCCCCTCTCTCTCTCTCTGCCTGCCTCTCTGCCTGCTTGTCATCTCTGTCAAATAAATAAATAAAATCTTTAAAAAAAAAGAGAGAGAGAGATGTAAACAATGTTTCATTTCCATTTCACTGATAAGTCTTAAAAATTAAAGAAAAGTTGACTTTCTGTTACATGATTTTCGCCTATCAAATTAACAAAGAATCAAAAAACATGGGCAGTACTAGCCCTCTCCATTCTTTAAACATGCCAGACTTGTTTCCACTTCACTGCCTTTGCTTTCAGTCCTTTGCCTGGAGTGCTTGCTTTCTCATAATTTAGTTCTTCGCTTAAAGATTACAGCCTCAGGTGTTCCAGACCATGCTAGCTGAAGTATATTCCTCTGCCCCCAGCCCTGTCCCTGTACCCTTCAAAAATCATGGTTACTTGTTTTTTGAATGTCTTTTCACCATCAGCCATCAAAAAAAAAGAAAGGAAGAAAGGAAAGAAAGAAAGAAAGAAAGATCGATCGATCTAGGGGCACCTGGGTGGCTCAGTCAGTTAAGCGCCTGCTTTCAGCTCAGGTCTTTATTCCGGTGTTCTGGGATCAAACACCACATCTGAGCAGGGAGCCTGCTACTCCCTCTTCCTCTGCCCTTCTGCTTCTGCTCTCTCTCTCACACACACTTGTGCTTGTTCTCTCTCAATTTAATAAACAAAAATCTTAAAAAAGAAAAATGAATGTCTCTTCACCAGAATGTTAGCTCCCTACGGCAGGGACCTCATCAGTTGTGATCAGTGGTATATTCATCTCTTCTGTTGACCTGCTGTGTGTCTTTAGGCACAACTTCTCCTTTCTGAATCTTCATTTCCTCATTGTAAAATGGAGATCCTACTAACCATGGAAGGTTCAGATGAGAGAGGTGTCTGAAAACATTCATCCCAATATCTGACTTACAGCAGGCACTGAGCAGGTTAATGTATAATTGTATGTCCTCCCTTTCTTGTGTGTGTTTTCTTTTAAGCAGCCAGGTCTTGGTCGAGGTTAAATATAGGATCACCTAAACCCTAGCTCTTGTTTACCCTGGGTACTGTAAGGCCTCCCCCCCCCCCGCCATACTTGAAAAGTTGATTTTTGTAAAACATGGTTGTAGAAATGCTTTTTATTTGTTCCTTAAGTATTTACTGAGTCTATACTGTGCCAGGTAGTGGGGCTCTAAAGTTGGGGTTCTTGTTCCTGGGGTGCTTGGGGTCTAGAGGAACACAGATAGTTACATCCCAGTGTGATATGTGCTGTGAAGGCAGGGTGAAGGGTACTCAGGAGAGGGGAGGTCTCCCACAGCAGACTCATGAGCTGCATCCAAAGAGTCGGGAATTAGTTACATCAAGCAGTGAGTGCAGGAGTGAAGGTTGCTTCCTTCAGAGGAAGCAGTACTTATCTGGACCCGGGCTCAGGCAGGTTGTGCTTGCCCCCTACAGTCTGTTCTCCACAGAGCAACCAGACCCATTGTTTTGAAACATCAGATCTTGTCACTCCTCACCTCAAAACCTGTTAGTGGCTCCCCATATCATCCCCATTAAAAACCAAAGTCATTGCTGTGGTCTACCAGACCCACTGAAATCAAATCTGACCCTGGCTACCTCTGTCATCTGGCCGCCTGCTGCTCACTGCACTTCAACCACACTGGCTCCTTTGAGCCCTGAAATATGTTAACCTCGGGGCTCTTGTACTTGCTCTTTATGCGGTCTGGAATGCTCTCCTTAGAAATCCACATTAGCTCCCTCATTTTCTTCATTCAGATCTCTACAGCTATCATCTTGGTGAGGTCTTCTCTGACCACCTTATTTAAAACTGCCTGCCTGGGTGGCTCAGTTGGTTAGGCATCTGCCTTCAGCTCAGGCCATGGTCTCAGGGTCCTGGGATCGAACCCAACGTCAGGCTCCTGCTCAGCCTGGAGTCTGTTTCTCCCTTTACCCCTCCCCCAACTTGTGCTCACCTTTTCTCCCTCTCTCAAATAAATAAAATATTTTTAAAAGAATTGCCATCAACCCCTTCATTCTAGAGACCACTTCCCTACTGTATCTGAATTTATATTTTACTTGGTTAATGTCTGCCCCTCAGCTTCATGAGGGCAAGGGGTTTTTTTTTTTTTTTAGATTTTGTTCAATGTAGCAGCCTCAGGCCTAAAACAATGTCTGGCACATAGAAGGTATCCACATACCTGACGTAGGGCTGAAATGAATAGGAATTAAGAAGTATTCATCTCTTTCATTTCAGCTCAACTTTCCAGCCTCCAGGGAATATTTCAGACCTCTATTCTGACACCTTTGGTTTTGCTTTCTTTCTCTTCCCTAGGTTGATTGAACATTGAGCTGTCAGTGTTGAGCATGTCAGAGCCCAGTGTCCCCATATTAGAGATCTCTTTCTTGGATACACAGAGAAGGGTTAAAAAAATGTTTGGGTTTGGATTTTTTTTTTTTTTTTTCAGTTCATTTATTTTAGAGAGAGAGAGCACGAGTTAGGGGAGGGGGAAAGAAAGAGGGAGAAAATCTCAAGCGGACTCTGCGTTAACTTACGGAGCCTGACGCAGGGCTCAATCCCATGACCCTGAGATCATGACCTAAACCAAAACCAAGAGGCAGATGTTTAACCAACTGAGCTACCCAGGCACCCCCCAAAAATGTTTTTTGGTTTTTTTGTTTTTTGTTTTTTTAAGATTTTATTTATTTATTTGACAGACAAGAGATCACAAGTAGGCAGAGAGGCAGGCAGAGAGAAAGGGAAGCAGGCCCCTCACGGAGCAGAGAGCCCGATGTGGGGCTTGATCCCAGGATGCCAGGATCATGACCTGAGCTGAAGGCAGAGGCTTTAACCCACTGAGCCACCCAGGTGCCCCCCAAAAATGTTTTTAAATAGAAACAAGGTAATGGAGTAAAAAGAGGCTGTTTTGGAAAAGAAAAAAAAAAAAAAGAAAAGAAAGAAAATCTTATCTACAATTCCCTGCACTCAATGTGGCTTTTATTTTTTTCAGAGTCCTAGCTTGCTTGTTTTCACATGGGTGCCCTCATCAAGCACTTTATTTTTGCATTTAGCTGTTTTCACTTAATGTTATATCATGAACTTTTTGTGGTGATATAAATATTCTGATTACCATTGTTAATATGTATATTATATTCCTATGACGAGACATTCTATAATTGAATTGGCTTTTCTCCTAGTTATTGGGCACTTTTGCCTTTCTGTATTTTGTGACTGCAGTTGTCACAGCAGCAAACATCTTGCTGTATTCTTCTTTTAAATTATTTCCTTAGGATGAGTTTCAGGAAAGTTACCAGGTCAGATCGAGTACTATGTAATACTGACCACTATTGTACTTTACCCCCTCCTCTCCAAAATAGTATTTAATAGCAGCTCAGTGAAAGTCTTGAATGAATTATGACCTCATACATTCATGACCCACTGTATTATACTCATGTCCACAGAGCTAGCCCTGTCCTTTTACTCAGACTCCAGATTTATGACGTGTTAGGCTACTTGCCATCTCATAGGAGGAACTTGTTTGCTCTTCTCTCCAGCATTTCAGTATTCTTATATCATTGGGGAGTGGGTGGTAGTGACTGGATTGTCAGCTTTTTTCCTACTAGAAAAACAATAATTCATTGTGCTCTCTCCATCACTGTTTAGAAGCTCCTCCCCTCCAGGCCAACTCATTAGCCCTTGGGGGTGGGGAACCACTTCCTTTAGGTTGGTTGATGGCATCTGTTTTCAACATAGTCTGACTCACCCTTTGAGTAGCTTCTGCCTGGATTCTGGACTAGTCTGGAAGGGACCTCTTAAGAACAAGCACACTTTAAGGCCAGTTTCCATCCACAGAGTTAGGCCTAGTTCAGTTAAGCAGCTTTTTATTGAGCACCTGTTGTGCAGAGCATTGTAGAAACTCTTTTAAGTAAACCAGTACCTAATGCATTCCTAGAGAGGTACAGTCAAGAGTTTGGGGAGTCAGAACTGGGCAAAGACTCCAGAGTTGGGGATCAGTAAAAGCTTCATGGAAGAGGTAATGTCTTAGATGGCCTAGAAGAATTTATTGGGTTTCCTTGTTAGGGTAAAAAAGATTTGGAGATAAGGAGGTATAGGTGTGAAGATGGAGAGTTGAAGGAAGAGTAAAAGAGATGGCAGTGATAATAACATAAAAGGCCTGGCATGATAGGGTGAGGGCCCAAATGCCATGTGCTAGTTTCTGGAGAATCAGGATTAATGAGCCCCTTCCCCAGGCACATTTTCTGTGTCTATGTACCATGTGTCACACTGTCTCAGATGCTAGCTTACTAAGTCACCGAGTTTATCCTCATGGAGTCATTTTCTTCCTTTGGAATATTTTCATTTGTGCTGTTTGGGCCACGAATGACAACTTAGTCTCCTTCCTAGTAGACACCACTGTTTGGGTTTTTTCAAATCATCAGAGTCTGGTTCCCCCAGTGTCCCAAATATGAGAGTCATGGATGTGTCTGTACTCCCAAGAATGGTATTTATATTCTGCTCCCAAATAGCTAAGCTGGGAGGGGTAATAGTGCCTAGTGGGCAAAGAGCCAGGAGTAGCCACACCCCATGCTGGGGTTTGTAACAGATGGTTTAAGCCCTGGGGATGACCTAGGGACCACTCCAAACAGGCCTGGGGAGCTTTGAGGAGGTGCCATGTGCCTGGGTGTTACTTGTTTGTTACTGGAAGACAAATATGTGATTAATCTGCCAGGAGTGTGAGGGAGTCAGTCCACTCTTCCTGGCCCCTCCTAACCTGGGTCTTGTTCTCTCTGGCAGGCAGAGGTGGAGGAGACACTGAAGCGACTTCAGAGCCAGAAGGGAGTACAGGGCATCATCGTGGTGAACACAGAAGGTATACCCTTCCTTTGGCCATGACCTGCTCATAGGCAGACCCCAAGAAAACAGCCCAAACTTAGCATGACATTATTTACTAAGCCCCTTCATGTACAGAATCTAATTTTTATCCTCTGTTAAGCACTTCCAGTGTCCTAGCACTATTACTGGAATTCCAAAGTTTAAAAAAGGAAAAATTCACTCAATTCCACTGCCCTGACAGATCATACTTTTGACTATGCCATGCTTTTCTAGCCCTTGCCCAGGTATATCTTTTCTTGGTCATAATTATTATAGTTGTTATTCTTTTGCATATGTTCACTCATGAGTTTGTTTATTGGCTTTTTTTGTCATGATTTACATAAGCAAAATTTTTAATTGCCAGTACAATGTTTATCAGCCATCCACCATTTATATGGTTTCTAATTTTTTTTTTTTTTTTTTTTTTTTTTTTTTTAAGTAAACTCTACCCCCAGCCTAGGGCTCAAACCCACAACCCCGAAATCAAGAGTTGCACAATCTACCCACTGAGCAGGCCAGGTGCCCCTGTTTCTACTTTTTCTCTAGATAATACTCTGGTCAACTTCTTAATGCCTATAGCTTTTTCCTCCTTTGGGGAGGCGGCGGGGGGAAGGGGGGTGTGCGGAGTGCAGAGGGAGAAAGAGAATTCTAAGCAGGTTCCATGCCCAGCACTGAGCCCAATGAGGGGCTCAATCTCACAAACCTGAGATCATGACCTCAGCTGAAATCAACAGTTGGATGCTTAACTGACTGAGTTACCCAGGCGCCTCTCTCCCTCCTTTTCTATAGCATTATTTCAACAATTAGAAGAGTACGGATACTAATATTCCCAAACTGCAGTAGACATGGTGAAGAAAAGAACTAACATTTATCAAGCACTTGTTCTGTGCCAGGCTGCAGGCCATTGCTTTACAAACATTTTGTTTCATTTATTCCATAAAGCAGCCCCATTGTCTCCATTTTGCGGTAGAGAGAACAGAGTCTAGAAATTTAATTGATTTTCCTGCCATTATAGAACCAAGATTGCAGGGGCGCCTGGGTGGCTCAGTGGGTTAACCTTCTGACTCTGGCTCAGGTCATGATCTCAGGGTCATGGGATCCAGCCCCGCATCGGGATATCTGCTCAGCAGGGAGCCTGCTTCCCCCTCTCTCTTTGCCTGCCTCTCTGCTTACTTGTGATCTCTCTCTCTGTGTCAAATAAAGAAATAAAATCTTAAAAAAATAAAAAAAAAAAAAGAACCAACATTTCATGCTAAGTCTGTCTGAATGCACTTGTGCTCTCTCCCACACTGTACTGTGAAGAAACAGAGAGTAGCTGCTGGTCTGTAGCCCAGTCAATGCTTAGGGTCACCCAGCTGGCCTCCCCCATTCTCTAGTGCAGTGCATTTAGTGAACTCTGATTTAAGAGCTCTGTGTGTATGTGATGTCATTCTAGCCCTTGTTTTTAGAAAGGCAGAATTCTCAATAATGCCTGCTTATAGAGCAGAATGCAAGTCATCAAGGGTGAAAATGTCGAAGTGACATGTCCTTAGTTAGAATGTTATTTTCCAAGTTGTCAGACCCCGGCCAGCCCAATCCAGGCAGCGCATAGCGCATGCTCCCCAGCTTTGTCAAACTCTAATTAGGCCAGGTGGTCAAAGCAGGCAGCAGGTTTGGGGTCCTCAGGACACTGTGGAGGCAGGAGCAAGTTCCAGCTCGTGTCTGCCACTGCTCAGCTGGAGGGCCTGGGGCTTCCTCTTCCCTTCTTCAGACCTCAGCTGCCATAAGTGGAGTGATTGATTTGGGTAATCTCTTTTAGCTGCTTCTTACTCCAGGATCTGAAAGACTATTTGTATATCTCCTGGAGAGACTATCTTCTCAGACTGGGCATTTTTTCACCGCAAATGGGGGAGGATTAGGCCTCCATCAGTATTTGCAAGTCACAGGCTTCAGTTTTGCTTTAAATCTGCCCCCAAACTTGAGCTTTTTCATTAGAATATAGCACCAACTGCTTACCTTTTGGATACTGATGGGCACTTCTTTTTTATACACTAATGTGGCAGTATTGCCCAGTGGGTAAGAACATAGAATGTGGAACCAGACTGTCTAGTTTTGAATCCTGGCTCTACTTAATTTTTATCAGCTGTGTGATCTTAGGCTGGTCACTTAACCTCTCTGTTCCAGTTTCCTTTTAAGGAAAGCTTTTAGAACAGTACCTGATGTAACTGCCATATAAATGCTAAAATTATTGCAAGGATTTATTTTTAATTTGTATCCCACTACAGAGCTCCCGCTTCAGTCTCTCATTTACATTTCACACCATGACCCTGCAAGGCAGGAGTATTGCCCATTTTTCAATTTTAGTATATGTGCCGCTGAAGCGAGCACTGCCCATTTTACGATGAGAAACCCAGGGCTGAGAGAAATTAGGTGACATGTTCAAGGTCACCCACTTCTGGCTGTCGGTCGTCAGAACTCATTGCTCTATAGTGCCTTTAAGCTCTCTGGAAGCTTCCATGAAGGATGATTAGTTAGGGATTCCTATTACTCCCTCTAGGGCTTTCATACCCAAATGATTCAGCTCAGCTGCCTTTTCCTGCAGGATGCATTTCCTAACCACTCCAGCCCCGAGTGACTGCTTTTGCTCCTGAACTAATGACATACCCTTATCCCAGTCACTTACCAACCACCTGTCACCGCCTTTTGACATCTTTGCCTTGGCCAAATTTAAATGATGTTTCATAGTAAAAATGTGAATTTTAAGGGGAATTACCAAGAACTTAAGGAATATTCCATTCCATTTGTACCTCTTCAGACCCCCTTCCATCTTGTGCTGCTCCCCACAGAGGGCAACATAAAAGACTCAACTTATAAGCTTCGAGGGCAGAGATTTGCCTCTTGTGTTCACTGCTGTATCCCTAGCACCTAGAACAATGTTGACACGTAGTAGGTGCTTAACAAATACAGTAGTCCCCCCTTATCCATGGGGGGTACATTCCAAAACCCCCAGTGAATGCCTGAAAACAGGATAGTGCTCAACCCTATGTGTACTATGGTTTTTCCTATATGTACATACTTATGATAAAGTTAAATTTATAAATAAAGCACAAGAAGAGATTAAGAACAAAACTAATAATAAAACAATTATGAGGGCGCCTGGGTGGCTCAGTGGGTTGAGCCGCTGCCTTCGGCTCAGGTCATGATCTCAGGGTCCTGGGATCGAGTCCCGCATCGGGTTCTCTGCTCAGCGGAGATCCTGCTTCCCTCTCTCTCTCTCTCTCTGCCTGCGTCTCCATCTACTTGTGATCTCTCTCTGTCAAATAAATAAATAAAATCTTAAAAAAAAAATTATGACAATATACTATAATAAAAGTTATGTGAATGTGGTCTCTCAAAATACCTTATTATATGGTATTCACCCTTCTTGTAATGACGTGCGATCCTAAAATTTCCTGTGTGATGAAATGAAGTCAGGTGAATGACCTAGGCATTGTGAGGCAACAGTAGGCTACTATGGACCTGATCAGGAGAATCATCTGCTTCTACACCAGAGTTGATGCAGGTAACTGAAACCATGGAAAGTGAAACCACAGATAACGCAGGGGATTACTGCCTCTGTTAAATATTGTTAATGTTTTTTACTGTTGATTGATGAATCTGGGTTTGGTGGGAGGACCTGGCTGTACAACCTTGGTCTTGATGGATCTAAGCCCCAAGTTAGAAATCATGCTCCCTAGTAACCAGCTACTTCTGCAGGCTTCACAGTCCGCATTTGTGAAGGCACAAGCTTGGAGGAGGTGACCTAATTGTTCGGCTCTCTGTGTGGTGTCCCCAGCTCTGACATCCTGTGAATCTGGACTTGATATCTTGTCCTTATTTGAAATGCTCTCCGGTTTTGGTCCCTGTCCCACCTCCTCACTACCTCAGTGTTTTCTTTTGCTTTTTAAAGTGAGCCAACAAGTGTTTAGCTTCTTGTCTCATTTGTACACCTGTCACTTGGTAGAAATGTGATCAGACTCATGACAGTATTTGAACTGCTGAAGGAACCCTTGAGAGCACTTATTTATCATCTGCAATAAATGCTTAGTGAAGTCTCTTTAAGGACAATGGTGAGCAAATCAGACCTGGTCCTGGTCACTTCCATAATGGTGTGATATCAAACTCCAGAGGAAACAGCTCTGAAGGAAAATTGTGTGGGTGGGTGGTAGAATGGGGGCATTGACCACATCTGGAGGTGGGTAGATCCACCAGAAAATGGACATCTGAGGGACCAGTGGGAATTATGAGAGAATGGGGAAGGAAGGAAAGTTCCAGGCAGAGGGACCTGAGAGAAGATGGCCTTGTGGTATATAAGAAGAGAAGGTTAAGAGTTTTGATCATCCAGACTTCGCCAGGCCTTGACATTGGCCCCTCAAGTTACCTGGGGGATGGAATTTATTTTGTACTGATGTTGGTAACAAGCCAACATTACGTTTGTACTCTTGCTAAACATTCTTAAATGGATTAGCTGTATTTAATCCTCACAGCACAAGCATTATTTTACAGATGAAGAAACAGAGGCTTGAGAGGTTAACTCACTTGTGTAAGGCCACATAGCCACCCCAAGGGGTAGAGCTAGGGTGTAAGTCCAGGTCATCAGATTTCAGGGTTCCTACTCAGTCATCACCGCAGCTGCTCCTACTGCCATCCTTAGGAAGATTCTGCTATGGAGTGAAGCCTCAGGGGGCCCTGGTGGGCACATTGTTGCCATCCAGGACCCAGTAGCAGCCCTAGTTACCTAGTTGTCTTGTTGCTTAAAGGCAAATGATCACTACAGTCTGTCTTCATGACTTCACTTGGCTCAGAACAGCCTCTGACTTAGCTGCTTCTCTTGCTATTATGTCCTCTTTTGCCCACACTCATGTTCCTGTGCCCTAAGAAGACAAGATTGGGCCAGTTTCTTGCCACCTGTGAGTAGGCCTGAGGGTAATTGCCTTTGGCCAGTCCTTAAGCTGGTCACTTGTGGGCCAGACCAGCAGGGTCATGGGCACCCGTATCTGGCCACTTATGTGTGAGGAGTCATTTGTGCCACATTCATCACAAATGCCTGTCAGCTTAAGGCTTCCTCCGTGGAACCTTCTGCTGATAGGTCACGGTGATTCATAGACACCTGATGATTAAGTTGTGTCCTGAGTTGGCTCCAGCTGAGCCCCATTTTTCACCTCCATGATGATAGGCACTGACTAGTAAGGGAGGTCCTTTTAATAGTTCATTGAAAGGAAACAATCTTCAAAACAGAAAAGGCTTGGTTCACAATGGTGTTCACGGCATAGTAATTAAGTAAAAAAAAAAAAAAAAAAATCCAGCCTATGTACCAGCAATAAAGGAATGATTAATTCTGTGGAATGGCCAGTTGTGGGCTATTTGAAAGCAATAGCAATGCTGTTTACAAGTCTATACGCGGACAGAGAAACACACTTTAATTTGAGGGACACAATCATGTGTGTAGACATGTGTTTATAACTGGGCCCTAAGCCTCCCTTGGTGGAAACTGGAGCAAAAGCACCTAGTGATGGTAGTGTCTTGACACAGGCGACCTTTTTTTCTTCTTCCTACTTTTCAGTATTTACAAATAAATACAAAAGAGCTGTCCTCTTTATTCAGGTTCTAAGTATTCTGAATGATAGTCTCTCCTTTTATTGCTGGAAGCCAGTCAAGACAGTGCAGCCCTGTGGAAGGAGCCCAGCAGTGGAGCCAACAGGCCTGCATTTGAATCCTAGCCCCACTGCTTCTGTGCTGTGTGAAGGCTCAGCGCTTCTGTTGCCTCATTGGCAAGTGAAGATGGTGATTCCACTGCCAGAGTCATTCCAGGGACTGGTGCTGCCGTGCTTAAAGTGCTCAGCACTGTGCCTGCCAAGCCCTCAGTAAATAGTGGCATTGGTTATTAATTGCTGGTCCAGTACTCTTGACTTAAGGGTGTGGGGTTGGGAACTGGGCAGAATGGGGCTCCAGCTTCCTACTCATTCCCTGCTCTCCCCTCAGGCATTCCCATCAAGAGCACCATGGACAATCCCACCACCACACAGTATGCCAACCTCATGCACAACTTCATCTTGAAGGCCCGGAGCACCGTGCGTGAAATTGACCCCCAAAATGACCTCACCTTCCTTCGAATTCGCTCCAAGAAAAATGAAATTATGGTTGCACCAGGTAAGAGGTCTTCCACATTCCCACTTGGGAGCAGACTGTCACAGCATATTGTGGGTAGCTTATCAGGACAACTTGGCACATTGGTGTCCCCATAGTTGCCATTGCGAGCCTGAAGAATAGAAGGTACAGAGTTGATTGCCTCACTGCCTAGCTAGTCTCTGGCTGGCATCCCCAACACATACTTATGCACTGTGACTCTAGGCCAGACCCTCTATTAGAGTCTAGGCCACAGAGGGGAATCGTGGTCTCATGGAACATAGAGGAAGGTGTGGTTAGGTCTTCTCAGAAAAGGGGACATTTGAGCTGAATCTAGAAGGCACAGGAAAGAGTGTAACCAAGTTGGAGGGATGGGAAAGTGATGTTTGAAAGAAAAAGAATTCGGTGATTTGAAACCAAAGCACAAGACAAAAATATATGGTCATTTTATCCTTGAAAAAATATTAAATTGCCTACTTCTAAAGTGTTGTCCTGTCTCTCTGGGCCCTGTATGGCCAGCTTTTCCTCCGGTGTTGGAACAAATTGCTGCTTTTGTTTCTTCTCATGCAATGCTTGGCCTGTGTTTAAGAGCTGTGTAGGGGGTGTCTGGGTGGTTCAGTGGGTTAAGCCTCTCTGCCTTCAGCTCAGGTCACGATCTCAAGGTCCTGGGATCGAGCCCTGCATCGGGCTCTGTGCTCAGCAGGGAGCCTGCTCCCCCCCCCACCCACCTGCCTCTCTGCCTACTTGTGATCTCTCTCTGTCAAATAAATAAAATCTTGGGGTGGTGGGGAATCTGTGTAGTACGAACTATACCTGTATTTAGGTCTTAGGATCATTCGCAGGATGATGAAATGCGCCTCCTGGGAGGAGCCTGGAAGGACTGGGCCACAGAAGGGAACATCAGGGCCACCTGTCGTGGCCTGGATTACCTCACTCACAGACTGGAGTGAGTGGTGGACAGATTAATTGTCCAGGACTATTTTTATATTATTACTTCTGCTCCTCCCCCTCTCTTTTTTTGGCTGGGCCACAAAGTTCAGTGTGCCTGTGATGACACAGGTAGGCTGCAGCACAGCTCGTCTAGCCCATCAGAATACGTGTGGGAAGGAATGAGGGGTGAGATGTTTGGTCCGTTATTGAAGAGGCATCAGACACCAAACTTAGCTGTATGGACTTGACCCTGTGACAGTTTTTAAGCCAGGAGGCAATATGATTGTCTTTGGGGCCCAGATGAAGGAGGGAAATAGGGAGGCTGTGGATGCTGAGTGTCCTTGGACTTGGCAACACAGATGAAGAGGAAGCTGGCTGCAGAATTCTGGGGTCATTTGATGGGTCACCCACCCCAGTAGCAGGGCAGTGGTGGTTCTCTGCTCAGGCTTGTTCTGACCTTCCTGGCTGCTTAGAAGGATACAAAGGGGAGAACCATTGACCCAGTCACAGGGGCTCACAGTTTCTGGATTTTGGTGCCAGAACTCTTGTGGGCAGGAGCCACTGTCCAGAGCCTCTGAAGCATTAGGACTAGATGGCCTTGGGATTTCCATAGAGCTCAAGTCCCACGGGGATGGCCCCCAGCATAGAACAGGCCTAGTTGCTGCATGTTGAGGTGGGTCTTTATGGTACTATAATTAGCATCCCACACCATGGGAACAACTTGGAAGAGCCCTGCCCAGGAAGGAAGTCCAGTATCCCTTTCTTCCCACCTAATCTTTCTGGTTGATCAAAGTGAGAAGCTGCTTCCCTGACCACAAATAGCAACAGGTAGTTTCAGACAGTTTGGTCTGCCGTATGTGTGCCAGTTTTCACCCCGTCCTGGCCCAGAACAGCCTGTGCGAAAAGATGTTTTAAGACAGACTTTTGATTTTCATTTGTTAACCTCACTAATACAAAGCCAAGTTAATACAGCATGATCAAGCTTTAACACTCTGCTTCCCACAAAGCACTTGGAGTGATGTTATTGAATTTAGAGCTTGATACTTGGAAGAAAAGACACTAGTATTGCTAATTGTGTCTGTTTTATTGGTGGCTTGTTAATTATTTCTACTTTTATTTGTAAGTGATTTTAACTTATACAGATTGCTTAGCCATGAAACTCTTAGTCATATAAAATCTGTTTCTTCCTATCTGCAACAGCCTGTCATCATGGGAAGAAGCAAACTTTGGGTTTGAATCAGCACACACAAAGCAGACAAGGCCAAGGTCCTACCATTTCTCCCCTCTTCAGCAGAGGGCAGACCATAGGTGTGCAGAGCATCTGGGTCAAACACAGCTAGCTGCCCAACCCTGCGTTTTTGCTTTGGCTTGGGCAAGTCACTTACCTCTCTGAGCTTCAGTGAGGTGGAAAACACTAGTGTCTGTCTCATGGAGTGATTTATTGAGGTACCAAATGAGAAGCGATTGGCCCAGGACTGGGCACATGGGAGCCTTGATAAATGTAGTTTAAGTGGGCCAAGTTTGAAATGCTCTGCTTCTCCAATCTCTACTAAAATAAAATGAAAAGCAACCTTAACTTAGTGGCTGTCCCAGAACCTGCAGCATCAGCATTACCTGGGAACTTGTTAAAAATGTAAATTCTTGGGGCGCCTGGGTGGCTCAGTGGGTTAAAGCCTCTGCCTTCAGCTCGGGTCATGATCCCAGGGTCCTGGGATCAAGGCTTGCATGGGGCCCTCTGCTCAGCAGGGAGCCTGCTTTCCGTCTCCGCCACCCCCCCCTCGCCTCTGCCTGCCTCTCTGCCTACTATCTCTGTCTGTCAAATAAATAAATAAAATCTTTTTTGAAAAAAGTAAATTCTTTTAACTATACTGTAATTAAAACTAAAAACTTGTTTAGGGGATGCCTGGTTGGCTTAATAAGAGGAGCATGTGACTCTTGATCTTGGGGCGGTGAGTTTGAGCCCCACATTGGCTGTATCGAGAAATATGTAAGTAAATAAATAAATAAACAAAACTTTAAAAAAGTAAATACAAATTTAAAAATAAAAACTTAATTTAAAAAAAAAATACAATTTCTTCCACTGTACTCCAGACCTACTGAATCCAAAGGGCAAGGGGCGGGGCCCAGTAGTGTTTGTTTTGAGCCCAGACCTCCAGGAAATTCATGTGCTCTCTAGTTTGAGAATCACTGCCGTAGGCCATTCATTTAAATTCTCTGAATCTGGGATGCCTGGGTGGCTCAGTTGGTTAAGCAGCTGCCTTCGGCTCAGGTCATGATCCCAGCGTCCTGGGATCGAGTCCCACATGGGGCTCCTTGCTCGGCGGGGAGCCTGCTTCTCCCTCTGCCTCTGCCTACCACTCTGTCTGCCTGTGCTCATGCGCTCTCTCTCTCTCTCTCTCTCTCTCTCTCACAAATAAATAAAATCTTTTTAAAAAAATAAATAAATAAATAAATTCTCTGAATCTGAGTTTTCCTACCCAGGAAACAGGCGTGATACTCCTACCTCCCTGTTCATATAGTAGCATGAATATTAGAAAAGGGTTTGTGCTGCAGGCCATGGCTGCTGGGTGGGAGGGGCTTCGCTTTCCCGGCAACCACACGGCAGAAGCCACCTTGGGAAGCATGCAAGTTCATCTTCTGTTTTCCCAACAGTTGGAAGTAGCCTGAGCATCGGTGCTTTTTATGTTCCTCTCCCCTTTTATGGTTGGTAATTTTAATTTTAATTTTAATTTTAATTTTAATGATTTAATGGTTTATTTTTTCATTTTTCTCTTTTGCAGATAAAGACTATTTCCTGATTGTGATTCAGAATCCAACTGAATAAGCCACTCTCTTGGCTTCCTGCGTCATTCCTTAATTTAATAGTCCCCAAGAATAATAATGTTAATCATGTCAACCGACTGGCAGGTGGAAATCACCTTAGGGCCTCCTTAGAGGATGCTCCAGTGACCAGTCATCAAAGTCATCCCTCTGCTGGCCAGTCACCCTTGAATTCTTGGGAGGGCCTTCTTTCCTCTCGTCCAGATTTTGGAGCAAGAGCTTTGAGCAGCCCACACCCTGCTTCCTTCTGACCTTCGGTTCACTTTATCACCCTTGGAAAAGGCTGTTTTTGTTTAACTAAAAATAACTGAAATGCTTACCCTGCTGTGTGTCTTTAAATACTAGGTTGAAAAGGCCTCTCTGCCTCCCTCTCTTCCTGTGTAATCACGTGGTCTAAAGGCTGAGCCCCGCTGCTGCCTCCAGCCCCCATGGCAGATTGTATTTGCGGTTCAGAGAGGCCTGCTTCCTACTGCACCTGTGGCCACACTTGCGGAGCAGAGTCCGGTTTATAATCGGTATCCTGGTTTCTGGGCCTCTAGTCCCTAGCCACCGCTCTTATTGTTTCCCACTCCCACCAATGTTTTGAAAGATTTTTTTTTTCTCTGCTACACTGCACAAGGGATAGGAAAGGAGTGATATTTGTTGAGTACCCAGAATACACCAGCGTGTTATATACCTTGACTCATATCATCCTCACAGTACCCTGAAGACAGTGCTAAAGCCATATTAAAGATGAGGAAACAGGTCTAGAGAATGACTTGCCCAGAGTTTCACAACTGTGGCAGTCTGTGATTCCAGAAGCTCTTTTTTTCTGCACCTTCTTCTCAGAATTCCCCGATGGTCCCCTTTATGAGTGAGCTCATAAACAGGTAAACATGTGCCTTCCTTCCCTTAGACTCAAGGTAGGTGGTCCTAGAACATAACTGCTACTCTGTGAGGCTGTAGGCCACCTGTCATCCCGTAGCACTCTGGGATTTTTCTCCCAGGAACCATATGTATTTATTTTTTGTATTAGGTTTTTCTTTTTGTCTTTTGTTTCTTGTTATAGAGGGAAAAAGATTCAAAACTTCATTATCCTTCATTCGCCAGAAGTAACCTTTGTCTACAGTGAGTTCTTCCATCTAGCAAAAATACTTCTTGAAATTTTCCAGTGAAGTTTCCTTAATGGTATCAGGGGAGTAAAAGATGCACCCTTGGGAGCGTGGGGGTGTAGTTTATAAGGGCTGAGCAAAATCTTTTCAGAATCTCCCTTTTTAGTGGAAGATAATAGGGATTTTCCACTCCATAATATATCCATGCTTGTTTTAATATAGCAGTAATACTTTCAAATAATTTTCCCCAAATCACCAAGGAAAACTGATTCTCTGGGAAAACATTGCAGGTTTTCCCTGTCCCAGTGGGCTCAGGAAGCATAGCTGAGGAAGGAGGGATTGGAGGACCAGAGCCAAATGACCCTGGATCAGTAATGATCTCAGAGATTCAGTTTTAAAAGAAAGTGAGATATGGCCACTGGCATCTTCTTTGCTCTCAGAGGCTTCTGGAAGCCGGGATCTAAGTCTGAGGTTCCTGTGTCCTTCTGGCTTGAGTTCCTCCAAGAGGGATAATGGGGAAAGAAGGTCTGGTCAACATAAATTACCTGGTTGCAAAGTCGGGTTTCTAAAGGAGGAGAGGGGCTCTGTCCCTAGGAAAGGAGGTGGTCTGGCTCCAGAGCAAGAGCTTGAAGACCTCACCCTCCTTTCTTCCCTTAGTCCTCCAACGCCCTCGTTTGCCTTAAAATTCCTAAAACTTTCCTTCCAGGTCCTAAGTAAGGGTTTAGGCTTAGTCTGGCTTTGGGGAAAACAAGATGACTGCTGAACATATATTCTGCCTCCAAGTCCCCTGGGCTATGGGATTTCTTCACACATGGGAAGCCCACTTTGGATGCATTCCAGTTGGTAATACAATGTGTAAAACTGGCTGGAGTCATCTTAAGGTGTAAAAACTTAAAAAAAAAAAAAAAAGATGTAAAAACTCGGGGTTTTTTTTATATTTTTTTTACATTTAAAAGTTTAAATGATGGTAGAACACCTGCAAATACCCTAGGGTCTCTGTACTTAAAAGTAGCAAGTATATGGCAATATAGTTAGTACCCACTAAAGTTAGAAGCTGACAACTGTCCTGGGCATGGAGGGAAGGGCATGGCTTCTGGGTTTCAGAAGTACATTTGCCAATATCATATAAGGTTGCCAGCATTGTGAATGTTTACAGAGAAGTTAAAATATTTACATATCCTCCATTTAATTCTATAGTTAACATTCTGCTACATTTCTTTATCATGCTACTAACCGTTCCTTCATCCATCCTGGTTTTGATACATTTTGAAGGACAGTTGCAGACAGTACACACTCCTAAACACTTCAACAGGCATGTTATGAGCTAGTTTACCTTTTTTGGAGGGTGGATGAAATTTATGTACAGTGAATGCACAAATCTTAAGTGTGCCACTTAGGTGACAAGTGCTTACAGCCAGCCAACTGAGTCTCCTTTCAAGATCACATCACCCCAGAAAATTCTGCTTCCCAGCCAGTATCCACCCCACCCCACCACCCACCAAAGACAGCCCTTGTTTAGATTCCCTCCAAAGTGCAGCTCCATCATTCAAGCATCCACGTCAGCACTTGCCAGTGTGTCTGGGAATTCTGTTCCTCTGTGAGCTGGTACTGCCTTTCTCCAAAAACGTGTTTTTAAAACTGCAGGAATTACAGGGGCGCCTGGGTGACTCAGTCGGTTAAGCGTCCAACTCTTGATTTCAACTCAGGTCATGATCAGCAGAGTCCTGGAATTGAGCCCTGGTTAGACTCTGTGCTCAGCAGGGTCTGCCTAAGATTTCTGCCCCTCCCCTTGCTCTTGCTCATGTTCCTGCACGTGTTCTCTCTCTCCAAAAAAATAAATCTTTAAAACACTGCGGGGGAGGGGGGCATCTGGGTGGCTCAAATCTGTTAAGCGTCTGCCTTAAGCTCAGGTCATGTCCCAGGGTCCTGGGTTTGAGCCCTGCATCAGACTCCCTGCCCATGGGGGAGTCTGTTTCTCCCTCTCACTCTGCCCATCCTCCCCCTCATGTCACTCTCTCTGCTCTCGAATAAATTATATCTTAAAAAAAAAAAAAAAAAACCCACTGCAGGAATTATAGGCTTTCTCCTTTTGTGTATGTTTGACTCAAACCAACTATAATTCTGTACATTTTTTTCATTCAGAATCCCATCTTTCCACACCAAATTCAGGTTCTGGTGAATTACCAGGAGGAAAAAGAAATGGAGATCCCGTAGACGTATTGCAGCAGGTAGAAATTATGAATTTGCCCACACCTCAAATCAGTAGAGCCATAATCCAATATCAATGAACTTAAGCTGAAAAATTGCATTCAGTGGCAAAGGAAAACAGGATGCAAAGTGCTAGTTCAACTGTTGTGTTAAACAAGCTCGATGTGATCAAAAGTCAACTTTATTATAGTTTCCCACAGTTTTTCAATTTATTCTCTGAGGCTTGTTCCCCTGCCCCTGGATAGAAGGTCTGACGAGTCCTAAGCCTTCTCCCATCACCTTTGGGTACCAAAGGCCCTCCCATTGGCAGGTGATGTGTCCAGTCCAGTGTAACAACAAAACCTTTAACTGGATTTAGAGACGGAGACTGCCCCTTACCCACCTTCAGCCCACTGCCAGCCCTGCCCTGTGTGGTGGGGGACGCAGGGTAGGCAGCAAGTGCTTGGCCCTGTTTCCTACTGTGCTGCCACCTCTTCGCCTCCCAGTGTTGCTAAGAGGGGAGTGAGATGGAGAGGAAAGTGCATACTTCACTGATGGCTGTTGTGAACTTGGTTCTGGCTCTCTAAGCCCGACATGTTTAAAACTGGAACTTGTCCTTCTGGTCCATCTTTCATGAATGTTTTCCAGACCTGTCTGCTGCCCCCCCTGCCACTCCCTTACTTTGGATGCTGCAGGCTCCCTGCTGGCCCCTGACAACTTGCCTTTTGGCCTCCGGTGCTCATGCTCTGTCTCAAATTCCGTTTGGCCTCTACACGCTCTGCTTCTGTCAATTTGAGGAGAAACAGAATCATCCACCACTTCCCTCCCTGGGTGGAGACTCAAAGCGTATCAACAGCTTCTAACGATCTCATCCTCTAGCTTCCACCTCTTGTACGGGCTAGTGAGCAGGCAGAAGTCTGGACTTGCTTTGGGCCACCTTGTGGTGCAGTCCTGCGTTCCTCCCGCTCCTCTCAGCATGCGGCCACTCCTGCCTTGGAGCTTCTGCAGAAACTGGAATGAAAATTACTAGACTTTAACTTCCTAGTTCGCAAGACATATGTTGTTAAAAACTTGCCTTAAAGGCAAGATGAAATAGGAGCTCATGATAAAAAAAAAAAAAAAAATCTGGGTTTTAAATACTTTTTTGACATACAAGACTTGTTTGACTTTCAGGTACTATTAAGTTTTCAAATATATTTAGAGAAAACATGGATAAAAGAGACGTAGTGCCTGTAACTTGCTCAATCTTTACAAAGCAGTGCTTTGTTTATTGATTCGTTCAACAGTTACTTAGTGCCTGCCTAACTACGCACCAGGCCCATGTCTGGACATAAAGGAATGGGAACACGAGCTTATTTCTAATGGAGATGAGACAACAGTTAAGAAAAATAAAACTATGCTTGGGGCCCATCTTGGACCAATTAAATCATAATCCTTGAGCATCATTAGTTTGTAAAAGTTTCCCAGGTTTTTGTGACATGCACCTAGAGTTGAGAACCATGGGCACCAATAAAGCCTTACACACTTGCCATGGTTGTGAGTGTAAGAGACTAAACAATATTCAGAGATAAAAACTCTTGAAAGATTAAAAATATGAAGGGAGGGGTGCCTGGGTGGCTCAGTGGGCTGAGCCTCTGCCTTCGGCTCAGGTCATGATCTCAGGTCCTGGGATCGAGCCCCGCATCGGGCTCTCTGCTCAGCGGGGAGCCTGCTTCTGCCTCTGTCTGCCTGCCTCTGTGACTACTTGTGATTTCTCTCTCTGTCAAATAAATAAATTAAATCTTAAAAATTTTTTTTTAAATATGAAGGGAATAATTTCATCAGATGAACTGCAAGATAATGTTGAGAAAATCTCCCCAAGTGGAAAAAAAGGAAGAGAAAAATGGAAAAGTTAAGAAAATTGAGGGATCCATCTGGGATATTCAACATCTGATTAGCAGAAGTTCCAGGAAGAGAAAACGGAGGGTAGAAAATTATCAAGAGACTACGAGAAATTTTCCAGAACTAAGTTTCCAGATCAAAACAACTGAGTGACCAGAGC